CAGGAATGTGTTTGCTTGGGGACAAATAGGAGCAGCACAAAATATGCAGTGCACTGAAATAATTAACATGAGCTGTGTGAATTCTGTGGTGCCTAAAAAGGCTTTTAGGTGCCGAAAACTGCATGTTCCTGCTTGTGTGGACACGGCCAGAGGGGCCAGTGTTGATGTCAGATGGCTTGGCTGGAGCAGGAGCACACACAACGGACAAACAGAATGCATGTGAAGGAACAGGGTTTAGGTTGTAGTACATTGAAGAGCCACCAATTCCAGAGACACAAGACAAGGCATATAAGGCAAACTTTTTTTTTTTTTTTTTTTTTTGCAAAAGCAATGCCTGAAGAGCCCTGCTCTCTTAAATGCCACAATGACAGGAGAATTTTTATTCTTGGGTTAAAGGGAGCAAATCTATCTTAGTGATCAATTGATCATCCAACACCAGATTTGTAGCTTGACGGAAAAGTGCCTCCTAAACTATCTGACGGAAATGAGAGCCATCCCCAATAAGGCTAGTATGGGTATATGTGAATACGTGGTCTCTTGTCTCTCAAGTTTACTAGGAATTTTGATATAGGAAGGACCAACAGCATATGTCAGAGCTAACAACTTCCCTGACATACAGCATGGCTAAGTACAGACAGTCAAAAAGCCCAAGCAAGAATCAATTCCATCTAGGCAGCTTCCTCTAAGCTGCATAGATTGAACCGATAACAAACTGAACTAACATTCAGTTTTCAAGTGGGAAAGGCAAGGGGAGGCCTGCACTGACCCAGGCTGGTAGGCAGGGGATGCGAAAGGGCGAGAACACTAGAGCAGTCTCCCAGCCCGCTGACCATTGCAAGCCCAGCCAGGTAAGGCCATCCCCAACTGGCTCCCCAATACATGCCCCCAACCCCCTGCCATCCCCCCACAGGGGATTAAGGACCCCCTGCCCAGTGCCAGCCCACTTTCGGGGAGCCTCCTCCTCAGCAGGTGTCCCCCAGCATGGGTTTCCCAACCCAGGCAGCCCTGGGGAACCATTTCCTTTTCCCCCTTCCCAGCTGCCGACTGCTTCAGCCACTGCCACAGGAGGAAGAAGAAGTCCTTTGGGCTGGGTGCCTACCCATGCAGCCCAGTACAGGGGCACCAGGGAACCCCTGTCTTGGGGGGCTTCCCTCACCCTAGTCCAGAGAAGCCCCAGGGAGCTGAGGGGAATTCTTCCTCTCCTGAGTCCCACAGCTGCTTACCTTAGCCCCTGCAAGCCTCAGAGAAGCCTGGGGCAGCCTCAGGGAGTACAGGGAAAGTCTCCCGCTCCTCTGCAGCTGGCTTTGCCTCAGACTCGCAGCAGTGGGAGAACTCCCCTTGGCTCCCCAGGGCTGACCGGCTAGGGGGCCCCAGGCTAGGGTAAAGGAAGCCCCGAGGAACGGGTTCCCCAGTGCCTGTGCCCCTGTCACTCCTAGGGCCTTGGGAACTCCTTCATCCTCCCTCCACCATGGGGGCTTTCCCTTCCCCTAAGCTGTGTAGGCCTGGGCTAGGGGGAGTCTGGAGGTTCGTTCCCCTGCCCCTCTCCCCCAACCATGGGTTGATGGATGCAGGCAGGAAGCAGGCTATGGAGCAGAGGGGCAGGGCCATCCCTGCTCTACTGCAGTAGACAGCACAGGCCAGGGCAGCAAAGCATCCTGGGATGCTGGGGACTGTGAGTTAACTTGAACCAGGAAGGGATCTGAGACAGAAGTTCCATAATCCTGTTTGACCTAAATCAGTTAAGTCTGATACTATATCCATCTAGGTTTATCTTAAACTAGTTTTGGCCATTTTGAAAGCAGTTTATGTACACTGAACTTCTGCTCTGTTACAGGTTTAAACCAGTTTCCGATTACTTAAACTATTTTATGTGTAACTTCTGTCTCTGGCCCATCTGTCTTGTTAACACAGATTCCTCATATCTAGAGTAAAATAATGGCATTTGACTTTCCAGACAAGCAATAAGAGATCCACAGCTCTCTTTCCCAGACCAGAAGTTCTATGTGAGGATGTATGGGAGTTATCTTATCATGTTCTCTCTCTGCTACATGGGAGAAAATAAAGCAAGTAGAACAAGCTGATTTGGTTCTCAAACCAAAACAATGGTTCTTTGAGTCATTCAAGTAATGCTGTGCTCCACTATAGAAGTGTATAGGTCCTGTCTCCGCAGGGAATTCCAAGATTAACAAAGAACCTTATAGATTCATAGATGCTAGGGTCGGAAGGGACCGCAACAGATCATCGAGTCCAACCCCCTGCCTAGAGTGTTGGGATCAGATGACCCCAGCCAGAGATGCCTATCCTTATGTAGAGGTATTCCATGGTAACTCCCAAAACCACACAGAAGAGAGTCCATCCTTACAGCCTGGTTTATTTTTAAGCACCTCCTTTGGTCTTACTGAATAGCTATGCCACTCGAGGTCACCTGAGACAAGAAGATTGTCAGATACTTACACTAGACTAATGGACGCCAACTTTTTTGGCAGGCATGCCACAATTAAGCCCCACACCCTCCCTGGGTGCCACTCAAATACTCTTCCCCTACTTATTCTGTTGCTCTTTACCAAATGCCCCCTGCCCAATCTGCTGCTCTGCTTTCTACTCCCTACCCTATCTTCTGTGCTCTCCACTCTCTCCCCAATCTGCTGCATGCCACATACAGAGGCTGTCTGTGCTATCTTTGGCATGCATGCTGTGGGTTGGCCACTCCTGCTCTAGACATAATGTAAACTGGCAACAAGCTATTGCCTATGGCAGGGGTTGGCTGGATGCGGCCCACCAGGCCATTCTATCTGGCCCGCAGGGCCCCCCCAAAATTACGAAAATTAATATTCATCTGCCCCTGGCTGCCTGTCATGCAGCCCTCAATGGCTTGCCAAAACTCAGGACCCCAACCTGTAGCGGCCCTCCACCTGAAATAATTGCCCACCCCTGACCTACGCTATCTCATGAACCCTAGAGGCAACACCTAAAAATTGATGAATCACACTGGTAACCAGATAGCCTGCAAAGGTTGGCTAAGTCTTCCACTGAACCTTTTAGGAGAACAGGAACCAAATCACTGAAGAAAACCAGATAATACAAGGAATCACAGAAAATTAGGAGCTGGATCCTTCAGATGTAGATGTCAACCAGAGGTGCTGCTGTTGCCTAGTACTGGCAGGAGCCACCAAACATTCTGGAAATCTCATGGACTAGTAAGCATGTCTTTTTTCCTCCAGAAAGACTAACTGCACAGCTCCCAAGAGGACTTACTGTATAGCCCATAACATGACTGCAGCAACTGACACAGTAACAGCTGGATAAAAGTACTGAAATACCAGACTATGGCAGTATCCGAGTTCCTGTCATGGGGACTCCAATCTGTGGCATAGAGCTAAAGGAAGAGGTCCAATGCAAGCATATATGCATGCTTCAGGCCCAAAGCACAAGGACCAGATAAAGTATTAGGGAGTTAACTGTTCAGGTACTTCTGCTGCGAGATTCTAACATTGTCTGAGGCACATTTGGACACCAAGACATCCCAAAACACTGGGGATGTCTGCTGACCCAAGGTGGTCCTGTGAACCAGTTGTTCCTACATGATCCCTGGCAGCAACATCCTCTGAGGTGAGCTGTTGCCTAGCACCAAGGAAAGCTGTTACCCTGGGGCTCCCTGGTACCACACCCACGAAGTGTTAGGTTGAACCAAGGCTGGGATAGCCTTTAAATAAGATTCTCTGATTGAGGGCCTGTGACAGCACTTTGGGTTCACACCTTTAGTCCACACTCTTCAGCTAACAGGTCTCCCATTATTGTTGTCTGTAGGAACAGGACACTTTAATGAAATAATTGTGGTGACCCAATTTCAAACTATCCCAAACAACAAGAGCCAGGCACATCACCTCAACTGGGGACAGGAACTTCAAAAGGGCTATGCCACAGCTGTACAGTTTAGAGTCAGGTAACAGCTCCCAGAAGACCAGAGGGATAAAAAAACCCATCTGAAACGTTCCTAGGTCTTGATGTACCTTTGTTTGGGAGAATACTCAGCAGTGCTGTTCCTGAGTTGGATTATAGTGATTTCAGGCAGCTAATATTCTTAGGTCACTGACAGATGTTATATTAAAGGTGTAATGGGATCTGATGTGCGATCCCAACAATCGCACTTCTGGCCATGCCACATATGCATGGCAGGAGGTGCGATTGTGGGATCAGACCCCAATCATGCCATACTATCAGTAAAGGGGGAGTCTGGGATCATGATCCCATGCTCAGCTACACCAGCAAATAGCAAGCTTGTCTCCTCTGTACTTCTCCAGCTGGGAGCCCTAATCTTTTGATCAGCCAAAGGAGTGGAGGAGAACCAAGGGCTCCATGCGTCCCCATAGCGGGCAGCCCCGATTAGCTGACTCGGTCTCCCAGTCACAGGAGTGCATGGAACCCAAGCTCCCAGCTGTGGGACCATGCAGGAGCCAACGGCTCTGATGTACTCTCTCAGCTGGGAGTCCTGACCAGATAACCAGCACTCCCAGTCTGGGGGGGGCACAAGAGTCTTGAAGAGCTCCAGTGTGCTCCTGGAGGCTGGAAGCGCTGGCCACACATTCAATGTAAGGTGTGATGGGAACCAGCTGTAAAAGATATTGCACATCTTGTGTGTCAATACTTAACTAGTTAATCACTTCTTAAACATAACGTCTGTCAGAGGCCTTAAGAAATATGGCTGTTTCTCACACAATTCCTACTAACGATACAAATTCCAAGACTGAGGATCTCGCACAAACAATGGACTAGACCCTGGCCCTGCTGTGCATGACAGAACTGATAAACAGCAGTTGCAAAGCCAGCTCAGTTGTTTACTGAACAATTTCCCCTACATGGGGAATCTCTGGATGACGCTGTGCTGTGCCTTCCACTCCAGGCATACTCTAGAATAAGGCATGCAGCCAGCGGAAAGAAGTCATGGCTGAAACAGCCACGCACTTCAGCAATCCCTGCCTGCATAAATAGCCATTTCGTGGGTTTTGCAAATAGACACAAGTTTGAACAGCCCTGTCTGGCTCTGAGCAGGTACTTGCTGGATCCAAAGATGTAGCATGGAATTTTTGCAAAAAGAACACTTACCTTTTTCTTTTTTATAAAGGGCTTAAGGCCTTTGGACGAAGAATGTGAGATAAGAACTAAGTACAATTAGGATTATATAGGAACTAAATTAATTCTAAATGCTTCAAATATATTTACTTCAAAAGAGATAGCAATTCACAACAGAAGTTATATCAGCAAGCACTGTGTTGTTACAATAAATACTGTATTTCTTTAAAGATGCAGTTCTAGCATCCTGTTAAGACGTAGTCCATCCCTCATCAAAAAAATCTCACCTTCAGAATCAGTGCCAAAGGCAGCAGTAGTGTTGATAGCAGCAAGAGTCCACGTGCCAGAATTAAGGCTGTCTGTGCTGGTATTTATTGCTGGGACCGAAAGAGATTTTATGGCTTCCGCTTCTACTTCAGTAATGATTTCTAGTGTTCCAAACTCACTTAAACGGAACTGTGGATAACAAGAGAAACCAAGCAAATAAAGAAGACTAGCAAACAAAACAGCAGCAGACAGGCTTGAAAGAAGAAATGATAGTGCATGAGATTCAACAAGAAGCAAGTAGATCCGAGACAAAAAGTGGAATTGGCAAGAGAAATGGATTTACATACAACACAGCGTCACAAAAACATTCTTATTTTACCAGAAAAATGCCACTCCAGTGGTGAACACACATACACATTATTGGTCCATATGTATAGAGAAGTGACATTTATCCTAGCGTGCTTCAGATTTTTCTCTTTATGTAATTCAGATCTATGTTCATTTTAGCAAACATGCAAGAGTAAGCTGTACATCATCAAAGGGAGTAGCAATTTAGTTAAATCCCTGTTCTGAATGTTCAGAGCTAATCTGCAACAAAGAAATAGACATTAAATGTTATTACTAAATACAGCAACTGAATTTTAAAAATCTCATAGAAAGTAGGAAGCTATCCATGTTCTTAGAAGAAGTTACTTACTAGGGATTGTAGTTCCTAGGGGAGGACTGTTCCAATGCTTGTAGAGGAGTCCTCCCCCTCATGCCACTAGGCTTTGAAAACCTTCTACAAATGGAGTCCCAGTTTGGATAGCATGAGCACTCCCTCAAGCAGCGTGAGGAATATAAGAAGGCAGGCAGTTCTCAGCCCCTTCAGTTTCATCTGCTAACCCCGAGTCCTACAGAGAGCAATCCTCCTAGAACGTGGGAACGCGCAGAGGAAACATTCTTGGAGCACAGATACTGGAAAGACTCCTCTTCCTTCATCAAGGTTGCCTCTCCATAATCCCCCTTTTGGGAGTTTAGCAAACAAAATCTTCACTGAAAAGAGGCCCTAATATGAGGATGGATCAAAGATTCTGAAGAGGCATCCATCCTCAGAAAATACTTGTCCTTTGAAGCTCAAAGTGTAAATGTTCAGCTTGCTGAATAAACCAAGAAAGAGCTCTCTGAGACACGGCCAACAGCTTGCATGGGTATATGACCTTGGGGAGGTGGAAGGGCACAACACACATCATTGAAATGCATTTCCCCGAGACCAGGGATGTCAAAGATATGGCCCTTGGGCTAGATTCCAGCCTGTAGAGCCTTATCATCTCACCCATGTGATTTCTGACTGGCTTTGCACGCTGCAGGCAGCACGTGCAAGCCCCAGTCCCACATGCTGCACGTGATGCGCAGGGCTAGCCTGAGGCATGCCCTACATGCAATGTGTGGGGCCAGTCTGGCCCTGCATGCTGGACCCAGCACACAGACTGGTCTGTGGGCCCAATAGAGCCTGCAGTCCCAGAAAGCACTGCTTATCTAGCAAGTTGCTAAGTAGTGCCAGTAAATATGCAAAGATCACCAAACAAAAGAAGGATTTTTCCCTGACCAGGGATTAGCTATCAAAATACATACAAGCAGCCATTATTTGATTTCCATAACCTCTGCAATATGCAGATGGCTATTCCAAAAACAAGACCAACTGCCAGAATGTGTTGACATTTGCAGATTGTGAATAAAAACTCTGTAGTACACTAACTTATTGGTTTTACATTCTTCCATTACAACCCCTTAAAAATCATGATCGTTCTCCACCTAGCCTCTCCATACAAAGTTCAAAGTACTAGACCTATTCTCTCAGGCAGGTCTCCACCTTGCTCCTTTCCTCTTTTCCTCCATGTTCACAATATCCCAAGCCAAATTCCATCATCATTTTACAAAAGCCCTACCCTATGCTCTCTTACTTGATCTAAGGCCTATATTCTTCATAGCTCCAAACATACTGCAGTCTTTCTAAAAGAACCTCTGCCTCCTCTGCAATCCCAAAGTAACAGAGAGAATATTATTTTTATTTCAGTGAGAGCAAAAATAACACACCCCAAAGAGATGGTAATTATATATGAGATTCTGATTGTGTTTTCTGTAAAGAGTCTTTGTGTCAATTTAATGAGAAAACTACCGCTTTCCTGAAAGGGCAGAACAGCAACAGTACAATGGATTGCAGATACTATAGGCTAAATCTTCCATAGAAATGCTTATAATAGTAACAGACCAGTATTATGAGCAAAAGGTCACAAGAGGTTTCACCAGAGCTCTGATGCTCCATTAAAACCAGAGTTAACTGAAGAAAGGGAGGGCATTAAAGCAGTCTTATATTAAGGAACTAGCTTTCTGAAGCACAAACCTTTTTGTCCATAAATCACCGATTCTAATCCACCCTAAATCAGTAGTGATGGAAGGTGTTACCATGCAAAGGCAGTTCAATGGCTGACCCGAGGTCTCATGAACAAGTGTGGTTCAGTCCAGTTACTGCTGACCCCCACCAGAACAACTGTGACCACTGAGAATTCTGACTTGAGGCTGAAGAATGACTAAGCCATGGAGCTGAACTCCACTCATCCCTGGAGGTGCTCCCTTCTGGCCTATGATGGGAAAGCTACTTCTGCTGCTGCCTGTGCTGTATCTGCTCTGTAGGTGAAAAGAAGATTTTAATCTACAGAAATGTCAATGCAGCCTACTCACTAACACAAACTTCAGCTGAAAATACAAAACTGAAAGCAATGTTCCTTTGCAAGGGGCAAAAATGGAACTACCAAAAATTAACAGGAAATGCGATACCTCTGACATACACAAGGGAGTTAAAAAGAGACAAATAAAAAGGGAATTGGACAGTGAAAAACAAGAAAAAAAAAATCATTTTGAAGCATGAGGCTGAAGTAGACATCTTGTAAACAGTTAATAATGCTCTATTTAAACTTTGATACCATGCCCAATGACAGCATTATTTGAGGTCTAATCCTTGTAAAATTATCAAATAAATATATATGGTTCCTTTCATCCTAAGAAATCTCACAATACTGTAGACTCTACACTGTTACACAATAATCAGTTAAATGCAGCCATCTCTGAAGAGGAACATTATTGCTGTTTTCAAGAACACAGCAATATTTCACAGGAGGTTTTCTTTTAGGAAGCAAAGATTAACAACTCCAACTGGAAAGTGCAAGCTTTTTAGAAAATAATAATCCAAACCACAACTTGGAAAACCATAGGTCTAGTAGGAACTCTATGAACCCGATTCTGTCATTCCAGTTTTATGTCAGTGTAACTCCATTGATTTTAGGACGCTATGGGGATCCAAACATTTCAGACATATGAGGTCACCTGAGCTCTTATCCTTTTGACTTCCTCAGTTACAGCACTGAAGAACTTTCTCTGTAGTTTAAATCGAAGTTTGAAACGGAGTAAAGGTTTTTTAAGATAGAGTAGTGGAGGAAAACATGAAAAAAGACAGAAAAAAGACTAATGTTGTTATGAGTAGCTACTGATTTTGGATACCTAACATGAGCTGCTGGAACCATACAGGTTCTCATCTCTAAAAATACCATATCAGGTTGTCACTGTAGGTAGTTACCAAAAAACAAAAACCTGTAACTTGTGTAAATTTGGCCTAAATGTTGGAAGTACAACTATTTTTCCAGTCATTTGTAAAAACACAGTCATCCCAGTTACTTTTTTTTGTACATCAGATATGAGAACATCAAGCCCTAAATTTTAATTATTATTTATCACAGTTATATTACAGAAACTTTCAGTAAATAAGAAACGTGTAGACAACTGACAAAAGCTGAGCCAATAATCACTGACATATGAGAGCAATCTGACCTACAGATACCAGCGAACACAGTCCTCACTCATGCCATGTTGGCTTTAATGCTATTTCTGGCCTGAATAAGGCACTGTTGAATTGGCAGGATCAGGCCATACATTTTTGTACAACAATGTAAGAACATTCTTAAATACATCCTTGAAATGATCTTTAGAAGCTCTGAAGAGGAGTCAAGAGAAGGAAAAAATGACTAAGCTTCCATAAATCTCACAAGGAATTTACCATTTGATCAGTAACCCCCCCCAACAATACCTGACATGAGATAATCATTTTAAAGCAAGACTTATTTCTAACCAAACAAAGAACATTTGCTATCGTAGTGTATTATGGAAGGTATGACTTTCTTTTTTTTTTACCCTGTTCCTTGGTTTCTTACTTGTATGTTGCTACCTGGCAAGGTAGCAATGCCGTCTTTCCAGTCTAAGGCACCCATTACATCGAAGTCTGCAGTCGAGTTGGTGGCAGGTTTTCGCTCCGAAACATTCTGTTCCATCTTTCAGCTTAGGCTTTTAGTTTTTTAAAAAAATGTTTAAAGAAAACTAGGGACTGGGGGAAAAAAAAAAGAGGCACAGAATCAACAGGCCTGCTGCTTACATTTCATGAAGGATTTAAGAGTGACGCTTATGATTCATATGGCTTTAAAAAGATGGGGAAAAAGGTCAACTTGCAATTTGCCCAGGCACTTTTAAGTATAAGTATTAAAATGCAATTCCAGGACAAAACAGTATAACAGCAAGTTGTGAGACAGCTGGTTTGGATAAGTAGTTATTGTCAACTTTACAGAGCAAAATCCTGATCTCTCTCAAATCAGTGGGAGCTTTGCCACAGATGTTAACAGGACCAGGATTTAGTTCTATGTTAACAAAGACATATGTGCACTTGCACACTCACACCCAATCTTACAATATCCATCACAGTAGCATATGTGTGCCATAAACTTGGGCTGTCCAACTGGTGGCCCACAGGCTGCATGCAGTCCACAACGGATTAACGTGCAGTCCCTGGGTTCTCACCTGGCCACCATTCTTTCCACTGCTCCAGCTGCAATAGCACCCAGTCTTCAGACTCTCCCCTCCCCTCTCCAGCTGCTGCCTCCTGCATTTGCCCCAGGGGGAAGGGCAACGTGGCAACAGAGAGCTGAGGGTCAGTCTGGGGCCATGCCCAAGGGAGACAGGGGAAATTGAGGCCACATGCCCCAAGTGGGAATTATGCCTGCATAGTACATCAGTGAGTGAGGTGGTGCTCACACAGGTGTGCAGTGCAGTGTGGGGGAGCATCCACATGGCATACCTGGTGTAGCCTGCAAGGAGAGTGGCCCCCTAGGCCTTAGAAGTTGGACAGCTCTGCCCTATATAATTTTAAGAGCAATATAATTTAACTCATGCTGGCAGATCACACTGCACTGCTATGGAGCTCCGACAGTACTTACGGTCTACGAACTACTTCACTGTAACATAAAATAAAAGCCTCCTGTAGAAGCATTAGCTGAAAGCAATTTTGCTAGTTGAACTAAACGTATGTTAATAATAAAATAGCACTTTACATACATTAACAACAAGTTACTTGTACCTTCTTATTGCTTTGCATATGTGACCTGAATAACTCGAATACTGAAAAATTAAAACTAGTTATTAAAACATTCATATCTTTTTTTTTGAAAGGACAGCTTTATTATTTTTTCTGTCATTTCTCATTGCTTTTTCATATATACCCATGTTAAATTTAACCCATCATGTGGAAACAGGTCTGAACTGCCTAAGGGAAATCGTACAAATCTCTCAATACAACAGATCATCTGCCTGTTATGAAAAAAAATGTTTCAGCGAAAGGCAAAAACTCACCTTTGAGGCAGGACAATTCTTGCTGTACAAGCAATCATGAATCTCCAAGATCAAGTGTCTTAAGGAGATCTGTATGTATAACTTGATGGGATGAGCTTTGGTAAATACTACTACCAACCACTTTCATTTAAAACTGAGTCCACTTCTGACGTCAACGTGCAGGGTCTCACAACCTGAACATTTCCCTTAGGACTGGTTTTCTCTTAGTTAATTAAAAAATTCCAGTGAGGACAACTCCAAAAGTCTGGCAAGATTAGCACCATATACATGAATTGTAATGCGTCAGGCTGATGAAAACAGGAATCAGTTAACTAAATTAATGGTCCAATTCTAGAAGATGTTAAGCACATTCAACTCCCACCGACTTCAACAAGAGTTACAAATACCTAGGATCAGGCCCTTGAAGCCTCTAGTTAATGGCTGAGCAAAGACTCCATTAAGTTAACACAGAGATCAAAAGAATATAACGCTGCCATCTGCCAAGGCCACATGGGTACAGGTAGCCTTTAAGTCTTCTTTAATTTGATTCAGCCATTTCAAAAGACCTTCACAACAGTTACTATTTCATACAGACTTCTAAAGCTATAAAGCCTGTTTGTAGTCTACAGGTTTGATGCTAGTCCCTGCAAAGATGGAAAGTATCACTATAAGAGGTGTCATTTATCAAATTCACACTTTAAATATAAAGGATTTCTAACAACAACTAACGCCCTCAAGCCTAGGCTGAGGATGTGCTGCTCTAGCCAGAGGACACGAATCTTAAACAGGGTCAAAGTTTACATTTGATACATTTTTTGTTGGTGGTATCAAAGTATCATTATTTAATTTGGTGATGGAGTGTTACCCCCTAAACCAAGCCAGAAACAGACAACTGAATCTCCCGGGGTCTGTTTTCTATTCCTATTTCTATTCCTGTCACTACTAACAGTATGACCCACCTCAGGCCTCAGTCCGCCCTGTACTAAAATGTAAGGTAACAATACAGACCTACCTCATATAAGGATTAATTATTGCTTGTTACAGACCTTTGGATCTAAAGCATTGTGCAAATGCTTGATGTCATCCCCCGTTCCCCCCATTCCAATTTTAACAGCCCAGTGCTGCAAAATCCAGAACGCTCCCAACAGTCAACGGGATTTGGGGGCCACAACAAAAAGCATCTTTTAGGATTTGGTCTCAGGCCAGTAGCAGCATTCTCACTGGAGTAGAGAGCTTTGAAGCCACTTAGCTTAAACTAACTCTTTCAAAGCTGTTCTATGTGAACTGTTTAAAACCAAACCAGGCAAAGCATTAGAAAAAACACAATATATGGAATAATCTTGTACTTGCCAGCTGGGACTAGATAAAATAGGCCTTTTTCATCTCTACATTTTATAAATCTAGTTAAAAAAAACCTAGAAAACTATAATAAAGAAATTACTTTTCTTATAATGTTCCCTTTATAATGTATTATCAGTATAATCTATAATAAAACCAAGATAGCCTAATAAAAGGAAACAAAATGAGCAATTAAAAGGCAGCAGAAACCAACTAGAAAAATTAGAAAAAAAACTTTAGTCATGAGAACTTTTCCCATTTGCCCCAGTTTGTGATGGTTTTTCTTTTAATTCAGAAACATTACAGTGCTAAAAGAATGAGTGCTCTATAATTACAATTTACAATACAGCGAAGCTAGGGTGAAAAATTTAGCTGTAAATAGTTAGGTCCGATTCATAAACTGACCAATAAATGACATACTGGCAGATATAACAGAAGCACAGATTTTGCACTTTACCTTTTTTTTTTTTTTTTTTTTGGGGGGGGGGGAGCGTAAAAAATTTCAAAATTTTATCTTGTTTCTGCTCCTGATCTTCGATACTGTCTTGGGCGAGAATAGACAGCCAAGGACCTTCAAAGGTGCTGGGCATTTGTAACTTCCACTGTTTCCATTAATGGCAGTTATGGGTGCTTATTGCCTCTGAAAATAAACCTAACTTCAAGCAAACAAGTTTTTAAATTTGGTACATCTCATCCTATTCATGAAATGAAAATAAGTTAATACAAAGAGTTCTGGCAAAGCTGTTAGGCTTAGCTAATATTTGCTCTAAGTGCTTTACATACAAATCTATGTAAGGTCTAATAATACTTAAGACCTTCAGGGAAAGGAGCCACTTTCAGCAAGTTCCAATTCACACATTATTAGCCTGATTCCTCACTACACAGGGATGTCCCTGTAGCTGCACGGGTGTAAAACTGAAGCAGTGATGGGGAAATAGATTCAAAGACTTCAAGTCAAGTAATTACAGTATAAAATTCTCAACCCCTCTGGCTAAGCTTCCATACAAGGGGAGGCAGACTTCCACTGAAAAATACTGTGTCAAGAAAACCATCTGATAGTCTGCTGTCCTGGGAATAATCAACTTATAAATATCCTTTCTTCCCAAAAATAGAATGGGGAACCTAGCTGAGCTGGTCATTTTATTTCATAGAATAAATCTACTAAAAAAGCAAGAGTTCAGAAAGGTCTTTGTCTTTCATGATTGACTGTTTGAAAGCTCCATATTATCTCAATTTCTTATGAAACTTATTTAGAGTATCTAACAATTGCCCAGCACACAATGCCGATAATTGAGTCTTACACAGCCAGTAGAAAACTAAATTACAGTTTAAACAGAAGTAAAAAAAACCGCTTAGACTTTCTCCTAGGAGCAGCTACTCTAGTCTCAAAAACTGTCTTGCAAAATAACACAACACAAAAATCATTTTCCTGTCCTTACTCTACTCTAACAATAATTAAAGATTATCCATAAAAAATATTTCTCACCCTGGACAAGTAATATTTTGTCAGGTTAAACTGGTCTTACTATCAGGAAAACTAACTTTATAACCAGCATCATCAGGCTAGCCGGAAATGGAGCCCGCAATGGAAACAGATCTGCACCAATAGTTCAATAGAAAACCTCAGCAGCCATCAGCAAGCATGCACTGCATGAGTACAATACTGTTGCTCTTGCTGTCTTCTGCATCAATGCACAAGAAATCCAGGCTACAACCTAAAATTTTACTCTAGAATAGGCCTCCGTTCATTATCCTTTTCATTGCTTTTCAAGTTCTCAGCAGGGGAAAAGAAGAGTCCCATTTATGAATACAAAAGCAAACAAAATGTTACTAGTTTGAAAGACTAAAAAAAACACAAAAAAAAGATGGGCTCGGGGATAGGGGTATGCTCCTGCAGTTAAGACACTTGGTTGAGACTTAGAAGAACAATTTTTTTCCTACCTCTTCCGTAGATGCCCTGAAGGCAAACCACTTTACCTCTCTGTGTTTCAGTTACCCATCTGGGAAAAGCTTACCTCCCAAGAACCGTATGAGGATAAATTAAAATCAGCATGATGCTCAGATACTGTAATGTTGGAAGATTAATAAAATAATACCAGATGCCATTTGATACCAAGTACAATTTATAAGCTCAGGAAGCAATACTATATGAGCATGTTTCTAAACACAACAAATGAGCTTAATCTGGCAGTAAAACAGGACCAGCTCTGTAGTCCACAGAGCTCTCTTAAAAGCTACTGGTCAAACATTCACTTACGTTAGCTGAGAGAATCAAAGCTCCAAGATAAGCAATAACTATCCTCCTGAGGAAAGCAGAAAATCTCTCTCTCCCCCCCAACCCCACCTCCCTTCCCTTTCCCCCTCCCTCTCCTGTCCAGCCACAAGCCACTTTATATTACAGGAACATTTCAGTAAGCAAGGTAGCAAAAAAGAAAGCATATGTCAAGTCAGGTGGAGCAAACGCGATTCCAAGGGTCAGTGTTTCAATGCCCCAATTCACACATTTTCTATTCTGTTCTTCAAGTCTCTTCCCGTTAAGTTCCCTTCAACATGTGATCATTTGCTTTGCTACCCTTCTCTTCAGATTTGTATAACAAGTTGAAGTTAACTAGAAAGCAGTCTTTTTCCTGTCTTTTTTGTTATAGGAACTCAATGAAGCATTCAGTGCTATACTGAAAAACATATTTCAGTCTATTCCCAGCAGAAGTGGAGAGAAGTAGTGGACGGTATAAAACACATTTGTGTGTCCACAGAGTTAACAGTTTGTGTTCAGCTACTGTACGTGAAGAACAGCAGCACACACTGCATTAATTTTATTTTTATGACTTGCATTAAAGTGTTATTCCTGTTGGGGCTCTTTTTCTGATTGAAAGAGTTTGATTTTTTAATGCTCACAAAAGATTACAGATTGGCAATTGTGAAAAAGAAATCCCTCTATTTAACTACAAAACAACCATAGTACAAGCAGTAGCACCACAAGCTCGCCTTAAAAATATGCCTGAAAAGATCATCCACTGGGGCAGGGGGGAGGGGACAACAGGAAAATTTAATAGTGGTCCAACTAGTTCCAGTCTCCTTACTGAAATGGTCATCAAATGGGCCATTTGTACTTAAAAACAATTACATATTTTATAAGTTTCAGCCAATGTAGCATGAAACTTACAGAGAGACACCTGGAAACAGGTGTTTGGGCCCCTCTACACATGCACGTAAAGGGGCATAATCCACCCAATTGTGCCTCCTGCTATGTCACACGTGCATGGCAGGAACCATGACTGTGGGATCGTGCATTAGTGCATCACGCCTTTACCTGCATGTGTAGAGGGGCCCAAACACCTGTTTCCAGTTGTCTCTCTCTAAGTTTCATGCTACATTGGCTGAAACTTATAAAATATGTAAAAAACCCTACCCTGTTTTTTGAAGGGAAAACAAATATTTAAACGGATGCATTTAAATTCAATGGAGCTACAAGTTAGCGACATCACAATGAAATATTACCCCATTACATGTGCACATAGTTAAAGTGAATAATTGAAAATAATTAGTGAGTCCATCCTACAATAAGAGAATGCCATTATCCATATTATTTCGTTGCCCTTAAAAATTTCTAAACTTACAATAAACACATATTGATATATGTTTCCATATAAAAAGGTCAAGGAAATTGCAAAGCTTTATGCTAGTTATTTTTTCCTATGTTTTAAGCCCACTTTATTAAATTATGTTTTTGCTGAACAGTTCCTCTCATATATCCTCTTGAGATTGCACATACAAAATTAATCACATAAAAATATCAGTTTGGAGGGGAATAATACAACTGCTCAATGTTCAATTTTGGAATAATTGCTTTTTAATGTATGCCAAACAGACATTAATAGCAACTGTTCTTTACAAGATTGAAATAATTCACCTTCAGGCCAAATATGAAAAAAGTATTTTAAAAACAGAAGAAACATTTACAGAATCAATCAAAGTAAGACTAAAAAAGTAACAGCATTTTAATGTGTGTAAATACATAGGATGGTCATTTAAATTTATTTGACTTGAAGTCAATAACTAAAATTAATCTAAGCACCTACACTCTATAGCTGCTCAA